ATCCTTAGAATCATGGCTCATCCTTACCCTTATATCCACTTCCTCGTCGCCCTCCTCCTCCTCCTCCTCTTCTTCCTCAGCCTCAGCACCGACCCCCTCCTCATCTTCATCCTCAACCACTCCCTCAGGCTCGACAACCACCCACTCGGGAACCTTGTACTGCACGCCGGTCGCATCAAAAACCCCGCGCCATACTAGTCCTGTCGGACACGTGCACCCCGTAACATCGAGCATCGTCTGCGCCTCTTGGAGCTCACCAGCCTGCAGATGCTGGGCCGCCAGACGAATAGCGCCCCATATCTCGGGTGACCCCGTGACTTGCGTATCCCACCAGTCCTGGCGCTCTTTCTCTAGGCGCGCGCGGGTCCACTTGAGCGCCGTGGGGTCTGTCAGCGGTTTGACGCGGGAGCTGGGTTTCGTCGTTGCAGCAGCGGCAGCGAGGGTGTTGGGGAGACGGGAGCGTTGGAAGGGCTGAATGGGTTTCAGCGGAGTGTTGGGGCGCTCGATAGCTTGCACTGGAGGCGGAGAGGAAGAAGAGGAAGGAAGCGCATGGTTGCCGTGTGAGATATGCGATGCGCGCGGCGAAGTGGATGGACTGCGTTGTGTCGAGGGTGCAGTGATGTTGTGGCGCGACGACGACGAATGCGCTCGTGCAGCACCTGGTGCTTCGTCGGTCTGACGAGATGCGCAACAGCCCTAAATACAAGGAAAAACACTCTCGTCTTAGACTTGATATTCTTTCTCGGTATTTTTTGCGCGACTTGCTGGGTGACTAAGGTTTTCATACCATGTTGAAACTAGGTGCCCGTTGCTACCCCTCAATCTTTGCTTGAACAGGCAGTCATTCGGCTCATTTAGCAGAAAGTTTGGAGATATCGTTCTAGCGATATGATTGGCGTGTATAGATGTGCTTGCAACAATTGCATGCGCATATTGGCTCTCGGATTGAGAGGGTAGGAAAGTTGGAAGGGCCGGGGCTGTGGCGAGGCTACGCCTGTATCGGGGGCGGCATGGAGATATCGATCGATGGACGCAATCCTTTGGACCAAGGCTGGATAATGCCACGGTCCTTGTACCCTTTGCCCCGTGACTCTAACCTTGCACCGGTTATCAAAGGCTTGCCGTATATGCATGCCTAAGGGACGGCCCAGGCCGGTCAAATTGGTCTCGTGTACACGAACTATCTGCATTCAGACTCTTGATGCACTGTCGATCGATGTACGCAGTCATCCGTCACTGCACAGCCTGCCGGCATGTACCGCCCCATCACCACCATTTCGTCACCAAGCCAAGCATCACAGTAAAAATCGAGCATTTCAGAGCAAACGACAGTGTATTAAATATTATTACGTCGATGTGTGCCCTAGTGGCCGCTTGTGTACACCTGACAAGGCTGTACGCAGAGGGTATCCGGGGTATTGCGCGATAAAACAAGTTGCGACCAAAACAGCCAATGGTATCAAAAAGGAGAGAAACAGGTGCAGTGGTATCAGTCTAAACAAGCAGTGGGCATGAAGCAAAGAACAGCCAAAAATGGACGCCTCCTACATGTCAATGCCACACAGATGGTGATCCACGCGGAAAGAGTGACGAGGAGTTGGTCCAGATGCAAGGAAACGTTGAACAGAGTCAAGGAAAGTTTGGTCCAAATGCTACACCTCGAATCTAGTAAAAGACACAAGACGCATTTGGATGGGTATCGGGTTGGCCGTACGGTCAAACAAGGGATTTACGGTGTCTTTGCTTTTCCGTCATTCCGTCGTGGCTGTCGTTGCAGAGGCTGACATCTTCCCACCAGACCTTACGCAGTTGTAGCGACAGTCGGGTTGGCGCTTTTCGAAGCATCGCCCACACTGTTCTCAGCGGGGACTTCTGCGACGGGGGCAACGGGAGCGGCAGCCTCCTCCTCCTTCTTCTCCTCAACGACGGGAACGGCAGCAGGAGCGGTCTCCTCCTCGACAACCGGGGCGGGGGCGGCAGCAGCAGCCTCCTTCTTCTCCTTGTTGGCCTGGCTCTTGTTGCCAGTGGCCTTGCTCAGCGAACGACCAAGGTTGCCGAAGAAGGACTTCCTCTTGTCCTGCTTGGGCTCCTCAGTGGTCTCTGGCTTAGCCTCGGTAGTGGCAGGGGTAGCCTCTGCAGCCTCGGTGGCAGCAGGGGCTGAAGCATCCTCAATTTGAGGAGCGGCATCGGCCTTGGGCTCAGGGAGTTTCTCCTGGGCGGCGGGCGACTTGGCACGGTCCTTGTTACCAAAGAGCTTGCCGAAGCTGAAGTGCTCCTTCTCCTTGGATGGGGTGCTGGTGGCAACGACGGGCTTGGTCTCGTCCTTGTTCAGCTCAGCAGCAGCAGCCTCGTTGGCAGAGGGGGCAGCAACGGGAGCAGTCTCCTCGACGGGCTTGGCAGGCTCAGCGATGGTCTCGTTCTCCTTGACAGGAGTGGCAGCAAGACCAGCCTCGGCCTCCCTCTTCTCAGTGGTGGGCGACTTGAGCTTCTCGACAAAGGTGCCGAAGATGGAAGCACGCTTGGTAGGCTTGGGCTTCTCAGGGGCAGCGGCGGCGGCGACGGGCTCGTCAACCTTAGGTGCCTCCTCGGTGGGAACAGCCGCTACGGGGGCAGCAGGCTCAGCAGTGGTCTCGGCGGGCTTGACAACATCGTTGGCGTCGACGGGAGCAGTGGTGGGGACTAGACGTTGTTAGTCAGAAATCACATGCAATGGTTTTCAATTCAACTTACTCTCATCGAGGTGAGGAGCAGTAGCAGCGGACTCCTCAGCCTTGGTCTCTGGCTCCTCCTTGACGGCCTCGCTCTCAGTCTTGGGCTCCTTGTCCTTCTTTCCGAGGAGTCCACCGAGGAGGCTGGCACGCTTGCCACGAGAAACAGAGCGAGACTTGCTCTTGGCCTTCTTCGCCTTGGCCTCATCGGAAGATGAGCTGGAGGAAGATCCAGTGCGAGCTGGGGCAGCAGTGGGCTCAGAAGCCTCACCTTCAGCAAGCTTGGGAGCAACGTCAATGCTCTTCTTAGGAGCGGCGGTAGCGCCCGCTAGCGCGGTGGGCTTGCCTGCGCGTTGTTAGTGTTCTGCAGGTCGAACGGCTAGATCGCCCACTAGCGGCCTCACATCACAAAGGATGGGAGCCACGACTCATTTACGTACCAATCTTCTCCTTTGCCTCCTTGTAGCCCTCGCTGGACTCGATGGTGTCCTTGGAAGCCTTGGCCTCGGTGATGGCCTTCTCAACGGCGACGAACCATCCATCACGCTCGGCGGCGGTGGAAGCCTCAAAGGCGTGCTTGTGGCCGGAGAGCTTGAATGCAAAAGCAAGAGCACCGTCCTTGGCCAGGTCAGTCGCATAGGCCTATTCACATGTTAGTGGGGGTGCGCATCGGTGAATTCGTTCAGGACAAGAGCGTACCAAGTTCAGGACACCAGCGGGCTGGTCCTTCTTATCGGCGTGCTTGACAAAGAAAAGGAGACCCTTTCCAGTCTGGCTGGACCAGGCAACGGTAGGGTGGGCAACCTCGGGCTTCTCGCCACGGAGGTACTCGCCCAGGCTCTCAGCGGCGACTGGCTCCTCGCCAAACCAGAAGAACTTCTTAGCGAAGCGGAAGGCGCTGTGGTTGTGGTCAGTATGGTGTTTGTCAACAGAGGGCGCACACGAGCACACTCACTTCTTCAGACCAGGCGCCTTGTAGCCGAGAGCACCGCTGTAGATGGGCTCGACAACCTTCTCCTCCTTTGGCTCCTCCTTGACAGCCTCATCGGCCTTGGTCTCCTCAGCGGCGGCAACAGGCTCCTCCTTGGGTGCCTCGTCAGTCTTGGCCTCTGCGACGGGTGCGACAGTGTTGTCGGCGGCAAGGACTGGGGCGGGGGCAGCCTCAGTGGTGCCGACGACCTCTGGCTGGTCGACGGTCTTTGGTGCTTCGACGGGGGCAGACATGGTTGCGTGTGGGGGTTTGCGTGGGCGAAGAAAAAAAGTGTGGGTGAAGGGGTATCTGGGCGAAGAAGAGGGGCTTGGGGGGTTTGTGTATTACAAAGGGAGTACAGAAAGGGAAAGTTCCAGGCTCGCAAGGTGCAGCGGCGGACAAGCAAGTTCGAACCTCTTGAGGCAAGGGAGCGAACAGCGGTGTAGGGAGGGAAGAAGGATAGGAAAAACGTCGAGCAGCGATGGGGTGGGAGAACTTTAATGTGAAGGGCGGTGTTGCTAGGTAGGGGTCATGGTGCAGGGGGGGGAGCAACGAAATTGGTCTTCGCGGCAGCACGTCCACTAGGCGGACCCGCCTGCAACTAGCCTGCCCGAATAGCACCCTTTGCCATGTTATGCAATGCTCACGCCCTGAAACACTACTGTGCACGCCGACATTGTCTTTTTTGGCGCCGATGGAGGGCGAGGCAGGCCTTGAGGCAGCCGTGGCAGTTGGCAGCGGCAGCGGCAGGGCAGACACGGGGCGGCAGGTTGCGCGATGGCGAGATGGCGAGATGGCGAGGGGCATGGCAAGTGTTGGGCAAGCAGAGGGTGGGAGGGTGGTCACGTATCGTATCGGATAAGGTTGGGTAGCCAGGTAGCCATACAACATGGGCGTAGGCAGGTCGCATGATCGCGCTGCCCCTCTTCCACCAGCTTGTTTGAAGCCATGAGCCAACCGCCGTTGACGAGACGCCCTTTCTTTGCATGGCTCACGAGACATGCGTTAGCCTGCAGACGACGTGATATGATGGCATCAGAGTGGCCGCCCACCCAAGCCGGCACCTCCGCATAGAATGTGTGTGTGTGGATGGATGGATGGATGGATGGATGTACATGGATGCATACATGTGAATGTATCAAGATAGTACATACATACATGCGCATGTACTGGGTGTGTGAGAGTGCGAGTGCTATGTAAGTAGACACACACACATACATACATGTACACTATCACCATGTCAAAGTGCGTACATGCTTACATACTACTCGACAGTACGTAAGTAGCACAAGCAGTACTCACATGGCACCACGTGCAACACCATGGCATGGCGCTCGCTCGACCCCATCACCACCACTCCCGCCATGGCCAGGTCTGCACAACTCGAGTCGAACCTTGACGCGCCATTGCCAAGGCCCGTCTTACATGTGTACACAGCACATCCACGGCTAGGCACTTCTAGCGGCCCTGCATGCACAACGAATCGCCAGTCTGCCGCTCTCGCTCTCGGCCCAAGCGCTGATCCCCGTTTACAAAAAGCCCATCCAACCACCCTGGCCATCAAATTGGCTGTTCTCGACACCTGGCAAATGCAGCCGAACAGGACGATGAGGCTACGTCTCGTGCCGCCGCGAACTCATCTTGACCTCCCACTCATACTTACTCCAGCCCCTCTGACACTGACATGGCCATGGACATGGACATGGACATGGACCCCCGCCTGTCGCTGTCGTCAAGTCAACCCACGCACCGGCGAACGGCACGCCACCATTGGTCCTCCAACGCCCAAAAGCCGCCAAATTTGCCCATCGTACTTGAGATTTGCCCTGATTCAGGTCCCCGCACAGGAGCGGGTGGAGTGGGAAAATTGCTGCAAAAATCTCGTCTGACTCTTAGCCACAAACACAGGTCTCCCCTACCCACAGCTGTGCCCGCCCCCCTCCCTCTGATCAGCCCAAAACACCTGGCCCATGTGAACTAGGGCCACTGCCCGGCTTATTGCAACCCATCCCCTCTCACGTCAAAGGGGAGGGGGGGAAGGCCAACGGGAAACTCACATAGTGCAAACACCATCTTCCAGCCTGAGCATCCCCAATCGGACATTTGCGTGACAAGTGCCAAAACCATACCCCCTCCATTACTCAAATCAAATGCCCACCCTACATGAGACACAGTTGCAGAGGCTTTCCCTCGTGCATGCCAGCCCGCTCGTTTAGGTTGATCTGCATGTAGCCTCCTTTCATCTTGCGGCTGACTTTTTCCTCCCAACCTCTCTTTGTGTGTGCCTCTCTGCTGTGTGCTCCGCTGCCGCTTGCTACATATTCATCCCGTATCCGCGGCACGCACGCACAGAGCCAGCCACTACCAACTCCACAATGGCAGATCTTCCAGAAGCCAATAATCTCTCTATAGTGCCGCGACGTCGTCGATATCGACCGACGCACCCACCCACCCTGTTATTTCCCGCCTATGTGACTGGCTCCCTCCCCTTACCCTCATTACCCCCCTCCCCTCACCGCCACAGCTAGGAAAAATGGGCAATCAATGTCGGACGCGCAAGAAAACTTTGGCGACAAGATGCAACGGGTGTATCCTGAAGGTCTGTGCGTCTAGAGAGGCTCTGTGTTCACGCCCCCCACCCCACCCTCTTTTGGCTCCCAAGGCTAATACTTTACTTACCATGACTGATGCCGCCGCCCGCCCCTGCACATGAAATGCATGGACTTCTCATCTCCTGGCTATGAGCTGTGAACCACGTATATAGGCCGTGGCAACGACATGCCTCTTGTCTCTTTTGTAATGGGCGCTCCTCTCCTTTTGCTTTTTTTCTTCTCACTGAACATCACGTATTGCCGCGGACGCTAAAGATTGCCGTTTCAGCATTCCCCACACCCTGCATTCCCTCTTTCCTTCCTTTTGGCGCTCCTCTCTCCACACATCACCACCAAAACACCCAGCCTCGCACCACGCCTCTAGCACCGCTACACATACTCGCGCCGTCCCAACGATATGGAAAACGACAATAAAGCCACAGTAGCCTCTTGCTTAGGTTAGTGTACGTGCACCCCATCGCAATCGTGCCGCAGAGCGACCAAAAGAGCCGCATGCCAAAATGTTGACTTGCACGACGGTGGAGCCAATGCGTCCCTGACTAACGAACGCTACTACTTACTTGTCTACCCTAGCCTTTTGACTGCCTGTGCGCACGTGCGCGCCCTGGACTAGCACTCGATTCGACCAGACTCGCTACGAAGCCAATAGTGAACTATTGCGTAGCGCTGTGCTTGTACCCCTTTCTTCTTCAACGGAAAAAGGCCACCTGCTCCATGTGACTCTACGTACATACATGTGTGTGCCCATTTCCAGCCCCCTAGTGCAAGCAACAAAATTATATCATTCCTGGAGAATACTAGTTTTTTTCTCTATCCGCAGTAGGCGTGCGAAATAAACGTGATGGGATGTAGTTGGTGAAACGTCCACACTATAACGGGTTTGTACGGGCTCTTACCTTTTTTGGTCCTGTTGCTTGTTTGCTCCTTCCACTACTAACACGCCATAACATCAACCGTAGTCATTCCTAGATGCAAAGTCTTGGATAGATGCCCGTTCTACTACATTTGCTATATGACATAAGAACAACTGAAAAATGAGAGGAAAAATAGAGGTCAGAATGACAATAGAAGAGCTAGACACACCATCTTTACATAATACAAACATGAAGGTAGTATTGAGCTTTCCTCTTCAAGCCCCATGCCTCAATGGCTCCTTCCCAACTCACCCCTTCCTATCGCCATCTCTCCCCTCAACCTGCACTACATCCTTTTCAGCAGCTCCCTCTTCCGTCCCATTACCCCGTCTGCGTCGTCCATCAACATGCCCCAACACACGCTTCCCACCCATCGAAGCATCATCATCACCACCACGGCCCGCTTCCCGAGCGCGTTGTAGCCGACCCTGTTCACGCTGCTTCTGTTTGCGCAACCGCACCTTCTCCGCACCTTGTTGAACAAGTACCTGTCTCTTGTCCTCTACAACGATATCTTTTCTCGTACTTCCAGGCACCACAATGTCTTTTGCCGTTCTCGAACCAAGCTCGATTTTCTTATATTTCACACTCCACTCACATACGCCTTCCGGTGCTCCAAACCCATCTATCCGTACATCTAGCGTCGGGAACCCCACCAGCGTTTCCGCCCCGGTCTCATGATCCTGTCGGAACACGGCCGGCAGAGTATAGCGCACGTCAGATGGCCGGAGCAAGTCCAAGGCTGCCAAGATGAAGCGGTACGGGCGCGCACGGTTTGCATCCAGCATGTCGGCCATATTCTGCTGGTACGTGGGTAAGTGGCGAGTGTCGGCCTTGTTAAAAATCCGAAGAACAAGCTTGTCCCTGGGAAGGAGGTTGTGGAGCCGGATCCAATAGCGGCCATCAAAGAGGCGGAATGGCTCGCTCCGAGAGGGACGGGAGTTTGGAGACGGGGGGTAAATGAGATAATTTGCAGCATCTTTCCTCTCGTTTGCGTCAAGAGGCTGCCGTGTGAGGAGCCATTCTCGCGGATGCGGCAATGACAGATCAATACCCTCTTCTTGATGCTCAGGGAAGGGAGTAGGCTGATCCCAGAACCGCCACCATACACTAAAGACACAATAGTTCTTTTTGCGAACTCCATCCCAGTGACCCACATCGTCATCCTCCAACTCCTCAAGCTCTGGGTAGATGCGATGTACTGTCGCCGCAAGCTGGCCGAGAGGCGCCTTGGATCGTGGCGAGACTAGTTCAGCTACTCGTTCTAAGAGACAGTAAGCCGTGTTCTTTGCCTCAATCTTGTTGGCAGTCGTTTCAATTGGGCGCGGAAGGAGGTCTAAGAAGGGTGGAAACCGGACAATCAGACAGCCTGTTTGAATGTCGAGTTTGATTAGGCATTCCTCAAAGAGCTCTTTTGCAAGATCTTTGTGTTTCTTGACACGCCCTTGCATATACAACGACACATCAACCAACGATCTGACGCCGAGCGCCTCTGGAAGTTTGTGATTTCTGTAGATATGGCGTATAGCGTTGCGAGACGTCAACGTCTGTATCTGGTTTGTCTTGTCTTCTGCCCAAGCAATGCCCTTCTCTTCGCACGTCGCAATCAGTCGTGTCTTTTCGAAACCAAGAAGTGGCCGCAGAATCCTGATGCCTCCCTGCTCAATGGGAAACGGAATGTTTAGACTGGGACGGGGCTTCAGCGGATTGCCGCTATGGTACACCCCGTAGATACCCTCACATTCGGGTATCCATTCTTTGCGCTGCATAGCTTGAAGTCCTGACCGGAGCCGGTTATTTGCCATTCTCATCATGACTGTCTCAGCTTGGTCGTCAGCATGATGCGCCACCATCAGGCGGTTAATTTTCATGTCTCTGCATGCTCGACCTAGCACCTGGTAACGCAGTGTGCGTGCTTCCGTCTCAAACCGTTTGCCATCATGGGGGTCGAAGTCTGTGGGCCATGTGAGGGGAATTACAGTGGAATCGATACCAACTTGGCCAGGTCAGTACTTGCAGAGTAGAAGAATGATGTAAGCCTACGCTTGGAGCGCAATTGCTCTGCCACCCAGCTGGCTTCTTCTGTGCTCTCCGGACGCACTTTGTGATCTACGATGAAACCGTGAGCTTTGGGTAATTCTAAGTCTTCCTCTTGGAAGTCTTTGTACAGAGCAGCCAATGCCATTGAATCCACGCCACCACTTATAGCAATGCCTGTATCAGATGGTCAGCTAGACATATCGTGAACTACTTTGTACAATACCCACCCAAAGCCTGTCTGCTTGACCAAACATCCTGCGCACTATGCAAAGAATTCCAGTCCAGAGCCCGTCTGAACTCGTCTTTTGTAATTGGCAAACCCTTCACAGAGCTATACCGCCGCAAAGCCCTCACTCCATAATTGCCTGACGCAATAGAGGAACAATTCCTCAGCCCGAGGACATTGCTTCTCCACATATAGGCACCACGTACCCACTTTCGTCCCTACAGTCGCCAGACAAACAAAAGAACGTAGCCTGCAAAAGGCACAAGAAAGAATTACTAATTCTGGTAATGCACGAGATGGATGTGTTCCGCAGGTGATTCCGAGGTACTACGGTGCACGGACATGGAATTTTCTGGAAAGGCAAAGCACAACATCCTCCATTCTCTACAAACATCCCAAACGAACCTCAATTCCTCTTTCTCCCCGCTATCCAACCCACCATTCCAAGCTTCCCGTGATATCCAATTACCACTCACCTTGCTTCCAACCCGCCAAAATGGTAAGCCCCGGTCACCTATACTACCTGCCCGCACCACCTACTACAAGAATCAGTTTTTTTGTGCTAACATGCATTGCTCTCTCGACAGTCCACCATCAAGTCTATCCGCAGCATTGCGCCCCTCCTCGACCGCATCCTCGTGCAGCGCATCAAGCCCGAAGCCAAGACCGCAACCGGTATCTTCCTCCCCGAGACGGCCGTCAAGGACCTCAACGAAGCAAAAGTCATTGCCGTCGGCCCCGGCGCCTTCGACAAGGACGGAAAGCGCGTCACCCCCAGCGTGCAGCCCGGCGACAAGGTCTTGATCCCACAGTTTGGAGGCAGCCCGATCAAGGTTGGCGAGGAGGAATTGAGCTTGTTCAGGGACCATGAGTAAGTTTTTTTTTCTGTGCTCTTGTTGAACATGTTCAAGGAAGATGAGGGGACACAGAGCTAACTGGGGACTTTGCAGGCTCCTGGCCAAGATCAACGAGTAAATGGAAAGAGACTCTTGTGTAGCATAGCGAGTGGCTTCGCATGAATTCCACTTGTAACAACCTTTTTTTGTATCAATACCCCCCCACCCTCCCAGAACCAAAATATACCTTCTTCTTCTTCTTCTTCTTCTTCTCCGCCGCCCGCTTTCCGGTTTGGATCACACACACACAAAAGGAAGTTCATACAACGCGACTAGCATGATTGCCCGGGGCTCCGTCGCAGTCATCATATATATATATATATAATTCTGGCTTGGGCAAAAAAAACATAAACTTTTGGTGCCTGGAAAGGGAAATTCTTCAACGCATGTATTTAACAAGATGAACGGTTCGGGATGATGGTTGAACAGGAGACACGAAACCACGACGAAGAAATGAAATAAAGAAATCTCTGCTCTAATTGCCAAACTTCAAGAATCGCTGTGTGTTTTGTAAAAAGAAAAAATGTATTGTGCATGCTGAGTTCCGTTTTCACAGGTATATCTTGAAATCAAAGTACGTATATTCATCATTATTCGTGATTATGTATGGGTAAGATGAGCAGGGCTCTACCTAACCCAACGGAAACTCGTTTCGGAGAGCCCTTCGAGGCTTTCCACCTGCGCTTGTACTTACAACTCCTGGGGTATCGATACAAAGACGCCTACCTACCAAGCCGAATTGCCACCGCCACCACCCCACTGCCTTCCACTGCGACCCCCGGACTGACCCTGATCATACGAATTATACGCCCCGCCCTGGCCATAACCCCCATAACTGTCCTGCTGTGGTGGCGGCTGGTGGTGCATCGGCGGCGGCGGCTGACCCTGGTATCCCCCTGGAGCAGCCCCATAATTCTCATAGCCCTGCTGATAACTCGTTGGCACCGCATAACTCGGTTCCTGGCCGTGACCACCCGAGTACTGGCCGTGGGACCATCCGTAGCCGCCTACTGGGGTGGCGTTGTTGTATTCGGCAGGGGGCTGGTACGCTTCACCTGCGTAGGATGACTGGTAAGGGTGGAAGTTGGACCATTGAGGCGAAGGCTGGGGCGAGGGAGGGGGACGGTAGGAGAATGTGGTGGGAGAGGCAGGGCCTTCGTCGCCGAATTCGCGGGACTGGCCGGTGCTGCTGCCGCCTAGGCTGCTGAGCATGCCGCCGAGGGGACCGGGAACCATGCCGCCTAGAGAGCCGAAGAGGTTGCTGGAGCCGCCGGAGGGTTTGCTCGAATGGCCACTGCTGCTATGGCCTTGGAAGCTGGCCATGCCTGCTGCGCCGTGGGAATGGCCGTGCGAGTGGTCATGAGTACCGCTATGGTTGTGGCCTGCTTTTACCGACTCCGAAGAGAGAACGTCGTTGAGGTCCTTTCCGTGGTAGTTGTGCGCCCAGTTCTTGACTACCTCGAACATATTGTTGTGGACCTCACAGTGGGGATCCCGGAGAGCAGGGTGGTGGAATACGCGGACTACGTCGTCCAAGACTTGGTCGACTGGGACGTCTGGGTGGTCCCATGCGTAGATGACGCGAGGGGCGACGTATTGCAGGATTGCTACTGCAACCTGACCGGCAGGCGGGTTGAGAATGTTGGAGAAATGGTCCTTGGACAGCATGCTGTGCGTAGGGTTGGTCGAGGTAGGATCCGTCCAGACCTCAAACTGGTGCTTGGCTGCCGAGTCAATGACGGCCGAAGAGCCACTCTTCAGCTGGCCTGATGCCGTCTTGATGATCGGGAGGATAAAAGGGGCAAGCAGCGACAACACGAAGATAGTGACGCGCTCGGTGATGGTCTCGATCAGCTTCTCGAGTCCAGGAATCTTAGAAATGATGTTCGAGATGCTGCGAACAACATTATCCCTAAAAACTAGAATAGGGTAGATCTTGGGGATGATAGTTGCAGGGTCCGTGTTGGTTCCTGGAATATCTGGTCCTGGCGGTCCACCAACAGAGCCGGGCGGGGCATCAAACTGTTCAGGCCCGGCTCTGGAGGAGCTGTAGTCGCCAAACCCGGAGCGGAAATTCTCTGCAGCTTGTTCATCTGATGAGGCCTGCAGACTCCTTGCCTGGTTGACAAGGTCGCCAGTGCCTGGGACCATGTTCAGAGCATCAATCAGGCCACCGCATGGGTCAGATCCTCCAGGACCCCCGGATCTCTTACCATTGGACGAAACTGCATCCACAAGGGCAGTGTTGACCTCATCGATCTCGGTCTGGGTGATGTGGTCGTTTGCTTCTCCTAGAACAGAGTGGAAGAAATCGACGCCACCAAACGTGCCTGTGACCAGCGGGTAGGTGTGCTTTCCGTTGAGGTTGATGGCAGTCTGTACACCAGTATGAGGGAATATGTTGGTGTATCCAAGTTCTCGCAATACCAGCTCCGTGTAGTTTGTATGGGCGCCGTAATCCTCGAGGCAGTGTAGTCCCTGGCCAAGACAACGAAGCGCTTCTGCCAGGTCTTCGTCTCGTCCTCGCTGACCCTCAGGACCGTGGGTGTACAAACGACCAAAGTGGATGGCTCGCGCAAACGAATATTTAACGTATCCCGAAGATGTTGCCCAGTTACCCCGCTCGTTAGCAATGTAATTTTTCATGCCCGTCTCAGGATCAACGTCAAGCTCAATTTCTGATACCGGGCCACGAAGACGTGGGTCATATTTACGAGCATCCTCGTTATCAGCATAGTCTTTCTATGACAATCTTAGAATCAGTAAGAACTTGGTTGTGTCTTGTATAAGCTTACAGGATTGTCTGTCTCGTTGTTAGCATGTATACTTGTGACTTGGGCTGGCTTCGCTTACCGATGTGTTCTTCGGGCCTGTAGACGCCTAATCTCTCGGCTGTGACCTCAAATTCTCCAGTCGCATAACCGAAGGACATGAAGGACAGAACCCAAACTAGAACACGGATAGTCTCTCCCTAGTTGCTGTCAACATACTATCATGTATTACAACTATACTTTTTGGGCGCACCTGGACTTTGGCCAATGTACCAACATCAACAGCCTGCAGGAGTTAGCACGTCCTTTTATTTTATTTTCGTAACCTTGCCAACTTACCTGTGAGTAATCGCGTAACCAGTTACCAAAGTACACACGCTGCGCCAAATGTCAGTATCTGCAACGTGTGTGACATGCGGGCTTGCTCCGACCTTGATCATTTGACTCTTCCACTTGTGTCCCCTCAAGCAAGCAACGGTCGCAAGCATATCCTCGATATCTCCATGGCGCCAGTTTTTCCCCTCAATTTTAGAGATAGAAGCGATATTGCCGGCGCCAAAGGCATCGACACTGGTTGGTAGCAGCACCAGGATCGCAAGGGCGACGAGCAGCAAGTATTTGGATGAGACACCCATTTTTGCTAGAATGACAAAGGGAAACGGTAGGTGTAGGAGGAAGAAGAACCTGGAGATCAGTCGAGTGACAATTGGAAAGTGCTGACCACTTATGCGCCACGCCGTCACACGGATAAGGCGGTGCTGGGATGACGCCACAAGTCACGGCGACCCACCCTGTGATTCCAAAAAGAACAAAAAACTGGCGCGCAGGTTGCTAAAGACGGTGTGAATGGTTTTCACGCAAGCAATCCCAGTTTCACAATACCCACATCTGGTGAGGCTTCGCTGCCCAACGCACCGTTAGGTTGATTGCGCCACAACTGCCCCACTTGATGTGCAGATGATGCAGTGAAGGGGGGCCGCAAGCATGAGGGGCAGCTTTTCAGCTGAAGTGACCAGCGCTTACGCCCGGCAACAATGACAGACCAATCCCCAGCTGATCTCAATGGCATGGCAGGGCTGGCGATGTTGTTGCCTAGCGGACATGTCGGTGGGAATAACTTCCTTTCGATGCGACGCCGACGCGTTGCATCGTGACTTTCTCTCGTACAGCCATCATGGAGCATGACCAGCACGGAAGCGAAGTGCCTGAATTGGGATATCAATCTCCAGCACCGCCTACCATGGAAGCCGAGGCCGAAGTTGAGTTGGAACGACGTCCACGTACACCTGAATCATTTCGGCAGCTATTTCCAGACTATGACAAACTCTATGATGCGGTTGCATACGGGGATATCGAGACAGTGAAGACTATGCTAGACGCCGGTGTGGATGTTGAACGCCAAACAGACGATGGAGCCACACCACTGGTTATCGCCATTTCCAGGCGCCACGCTGACATTGTGCAGCTCCTGCTGGAAAGGGGCATCGATGTGAACAACCCAGTCCTTGATGCACTTCCAATATTCCACGCAGTCAAGGCATCAGAACATGCGCCTCGCCTCATTCAGCTGCTACTTGACCATGGTGCCGATGTACAGGTTACTACAGGGCCTGCCAACATGACCGCCTTGCATTGGGCGGCTGCTAAGGGCATGGTTCATGCTGTTGATTTCCTTATCGACAAGGGATTGGATATCGACAGGAGATGCAAAAGGGGAAAAACTGCTCTTGTTCTTGCAGCAGAAAACGGACACACGACGGTTGTCAAACTACTTCTTGCAAAGGGTGCAGATCTCCATGCACGCAGTGGGAATGGCGGCACTGCGTTGGCGTGGGCTGCGAGCTGTGGACATGTAGAAACTGCAAGATACTTGATAGAAGAGGGTAGCAGACTTGAAGATCGAGATGAAGAGAATCTGAGTAGGTCCATAAACTATTCTGAACTACTAGTAGGTCTGTCTAACACCGCTAGCCGCTCTATCAATTGCCAGCACCTCAGGCCATTTGGGGATGGTGGAGTTGTTGATTGAAAAAGGTGCAGACGTCAACGCGCTGAGCACTGAACCGAGAAAGTCTACCCCGGCCGTATGGGCAGCAATCTTAGGATACAACAAAGTTCTCAAAACACTGATACAACACGAAGCGGATCTTTCAGTCACCTTAAATGACGAGGTGACTCTAATCGATGCCTCTCTTCAGAGAGGCCGTCTCAACACTACAAAGACATTGCTCGAGGCGATCGGTGGGCCAGACTACCCAAAGGATAGTGTAGCACTCCAAATCGCCGCAACAAAATCCGTCGCTGGAATGAGGCCTCTGGTAAAAACTGTCTCATTAATGTTCCCACATATCAACACCCATGATGCTCCGCTAGAGGAATGGGGCTGGATAGGATGGGTGCTCGACCAAGGCGGAGAGCTCGTCAAACCAATGGCAACGCTCAAACTGTTGCAATCTGCACTGTATGATGGAGAACTTGGCATAGTAGCTGAGCTGCTCAGACTGGATGTTGATCCAAATACAGCTGTCTTCGATGGGGATACGCCACTCCATGTCGCCGTAGGCCGTCACAACAAAGACCTTTTGCGTCTCCTTCTCGATTCCGGTGCTGATCCGGCTCGGCCCTCCAAGAACGCTGACATCCTTATGCTTACACCGCTGCACTTTGCTGTAGTTAAACTGTCTACCGATGAGAAAAAGGATACTTCGATCGTTGATATGTTGCTTGCGACAGGCAAGTGCAGGCTTATGGAAGGCGAGGACGCAGCCAGCACTGTCTTCGGCTACGTACTGCGTAGATTTGGACGTTGGGAAAACGGATTGGCCGAGGATTTAGCACTTCGAATGATAGACTCGATATCGGATGTCAACGAAGACCGTTCTGATGACGGTTGTACGCTCATCCATGCTGCGTACAAAGTGCCTGACCTGCTAGACGAGCTACTGCGGAAAGGGGCTGATATCAACGCCAAGGACAACTATGGTGAGACACCTTTTCTCATGGCTTGTCGATTGGGACCAGGGCTACTTAAATTTTTGGTCTCACGAGGTGCCGATCCATTCGCTGTCGACATCGATGGCCGCTCAGCACTCCACATCGCTGCTGCCAACGGTCGTAGACTAGTACTCGAGTACCTCCTCAACCTGGACATTGCGGAAAAAGGCAAACTGGACATCGAAGCCAGAAACAACCGAGGACATGCGCCTTTGATGGTAGCAATGACAGCAAACCAAGAAGAAGCAGCACTGTACCTGCTCGACCGCGGCGCAGCACCCACCGGTCACCGTTTCGACCGCACAAAGGCAACAGCACTACACTTCGCAGCCATGACCAGCATGCACCGCGTCGCAGACCGAATCCTCGCAGCCCCAGACTCAATCAACGAAATCAACATCCACGACACCAAAGGCCAAAGCCCCTTAGAAATCGCATGCAAAGCACCCTCTCCAACCATCGTCCCCGCCCTCCTCTCCCACGGCGCCCACATCAACGCTCCCAACCCCTTAACCAACTCCACCCCCCTCCACATCGCCCTCCAACGCCCCCACCACATGGCCCCCCGCGACAAACACCACGGCGACCCCGCCCTCCTCCTGCTCAACCACCCAGACATCGACATCACCCCCCGCGACTCCGCACTCCGCACCCCCCTCCACCTCGCCGCCCTCCACCACAACCTCCCAGCCACCAAACTCCTCCTCGCCAAATCCGCACCCCCAAACGACACCGACATACACGGTAAATCGCCCTTGTCCTACGCGTCCAACCCGCACATTGCACTCTTGCTGCTGGACTACGGGGCAGACGTGAACCACGCGGAGCCCAATGGGTGGACGCCTGTGCACAGGGCGGTGGAGCGGTGCTGGGTTAATGCTTACGGGGTGTTGGTGAGTAACGGGGCGGATTTGGAGGCCAAGACCAAGGACGATGGCGTGAGTGCGAGGGAGAGGATGGAGAGGATGGGCGGGCTGGAGAGGTGGAGTAGACGCGAGGACGAGTTTTTGGTCGAGGATGTCAAGGTGGAGGAGAGGAGGGTGAGGGAGATGGGGGGGAGAGGGGAGGGTAAGTAAGTAAGTTTGTTTGTGTGTATATACTAGGTTATTTTGTTGGGTTGAAGATGCGTCTTTTTTTTTTGGAAAGTTGAATATGTATGAAATTGAAATTCTAAACGATTCTTAGGCAAAGTCTGTGAATTGTTGTGGGAATGTAGAGCCATGTCACATGTGATGGTCTGACATCAGGTGCTATTGGACTTTGGGAAACAGGAGCTTGCCTCTAAACAAAAAAATGCATCAACGGTATACAGAGACAAATGTGAATGCGAATCATGTTATTGAAACATTACAAGATAGCCCATAATATTTTGAGTGTCGCCGTTTTCCTGCCCAGAGCTCACATCCCAGGCTGTGCTACTGGGCCCTTATTTGACCTCTGTCCAAGGCCTCACCGTAGGCGTCATATCCTCAATATCCCTAATCGCCCATACTCTGTTCAAATCTTCACCTAGTGACCAGGCTTGACCTTCTTGGCCTCTTCTTGGAGCTCCTTGATCTGCTGCTGGGTGTCCTTGCCTGTCTCAGATCGGTCTGCCTTGATCTGTGATTTTTGTTAGCCAGCGCCCTGATATTACCACATTGGTATATTACAATGCGTGACTTGATTCCAGGGTGAACATACGGCGCTCTCGCTGTCACTAGCAAGTTGCTCCTCCCAGTTTGCCTTGCCCTCCTTTTGGTTCTTCAGTTGCTCCTGCTTCTTCTTCTCAACCTCTTCAGCGCGGTTTTCGCTGTCTGGAGATTCGTTAGCTATGTTTTGCCATTCTCGTTTCCATTGGACGACAGGTACTCTGCTTTATTGACAGTGGACTGACGAAGATGGTGCGGACGTACGGAGGGCGGACTCCTTGCCCGCGGCGCGGACTGTTGACTGCGAGAAAGCTGCGCGCTGGGCAAAGACAAATGGAGTGCGACGGGTCGCAAAGGCACGGATAGCAGACATGGCTAGTTTGGTTGTTGAGAGCGAAAATAGAGGAGTAATGGTAGTTTGTTGAGGGGTTTCGATGATCTAGCTTGACGCGTCAAGATTCAGTTGTTTGAGTTCAATGGAGAGCTTGAATGGAAAGAAGAATGGATGCGTTTTATATCAAAAAGAAAAAGAGTACAGACAAAGGCTGCAAACTTGGAAAGTAGTATGCTCAAGAAGAAAGGATGGTTGCTCGAGGAAACATAGGTTCCTCGGTTAGTGGAGAGCTAGCATTTGGGAAGACGTCATAACGTCATAGCTGCACGGCCGGCAATCACCATTACGACGATTCGCCCGGCGGCCAGTAACCCCCAACAGCAGGACGCTTATTAGTCAGGATGTTTCTTTTTGCTTTTGCGCTTGTGAAAGCACCAACGGAGGTCTGGATGTGAAGCCTCCGTTGGTGCTTCTGTGGCTGCAGATGCTGCACAGGTGATCCCTCACCCCGCTTGTGAATGTGGCAGAAGAACCACGGTCGGCACAGCTTCCCCCTTGCGCCTGGATGTGTTGAACTTGGCGCATGCGGTCCATCTCCACGGGGTAGCCGCAGCATGGATGAGCTTCTGGCGATGGTGGGGGGAGGGGGGGCGGGGGGGGGGGGGGGGTGGGGGGGGGGGGGGGGGGGGGCGCCAATTTACATGGCTGAGCTGATTGAGGGGCGCAGCAGTCTCTCTATCCACAGTAGAGTAGTAGGCGGGTCTGAGCTATGTCGTGTCCGCCGCCCACTTCAGTGAGCCACGTAGTAGCCATTCACTCGCTCAAGTCCCATCACGATGCAGCACGAATTGACACTTTTGTTTTTGATGTGTTAACAAGTTGCGTTTCCATTCCTAGGATTCACTGCCCTCGAAGAAACGAGGCGTGTAATGTATGAGGAGAATAGAGCTCCCGAGGAAGAAATGATACTAGAAAGATCGAAGAAGAGATCGAAACCGCCCAATCGAGGGCGTCGTATAAATCCTCATACAATGGAAATATAAAAAAAGGAGAAGAGACCAACGAAAACGACCCTGCGCCAATGACTGCGTAGAATCATCCCAGCGTCGTACAGATGTTAATGCACCCAAGAAACCGATGACCCACAACACGCTTTGACACCGCCGCTTCGCAAGATCGCGCCAACAATGGTATATACCGACACCGCTTGAAAACCCCAGAGACCAACCGTACATAGGAAATCTACCCCTTTGTAGGGCGCCATGATAATGGCAGCCGGGCGACAACAGTGTCCGACAGCAACAACGCTATAGAACACCTACGCCTGTAACCAAAGGTTTTCAAAGTTTTTGAAAGGTATAAGAATAACCGAGAAATGTGACCCAGAAATAGAAAAACACCAAAGATGTGCAGACCGCCGTGAATGCGTTAGCGCTTGAAAGCAAGAGACCAATACTCTCTATCCGGAAATTCATGTTTGTGTACTACAACTGCAACGCCGTGGCCGGTTTAGTGGTAAGTCCAAGATGTCGAAGAAGATATCGTTGTTTATACAAGGAGAATCGATCGTGTAAAGAGGATGGAGGCTCCGGGGATATCGAGAAGAGAGCAAGTTAAGGATCCAGGTAGCCACTAGCCCGGCAACAAAGGAGGAGGGGAAGGAGCTGCAATGCTAACCGAACAGATGAATTGGTCTCGTGCCAGCAAGACTCTACTCTACCAGCGTCGCGACATGAACTGTTGCTGCATCTGTCGGTTGGGAGAGACGCTTGGCGGGGGGCTGGCAACAGTGCGTGTGGACGGGTCGACAATGGGGATGGCATTGCGGGTGCGCTGGGCTAGTGGCTGGTGTAGCTTGGTTTGCGAGTTGTTTTGCTGGAAGGCGATGGGAGTGTATGGGTTCGGGGCCGAGGACAGGACAAACGAAGGGGTAGGCTGCAGCTGGTGCTGCAGAGGAGACTGCTCAGGCGATCCGCTGGAAAGCGAAGAGCGATCTGAGCCCGACGAGTGGATGGACTGCAGCTGTTCATCGAGTGTCAGCGCCTTGTTGGGGCGGATTCGACGACAGGGGATGGGTGGCAAATGTCGTGAGGTAAGCGACTTACATCATCCTCGGTAAGCAGGTGGAAGGGGCAGAACATCTCGTCGTCCTCAATGTCAAACGACCTTGCGGCCTCGAAGTCGCGCTTGTATGCGATGAGGGTAGGGGGCTCGACGTTGAACTCCTTGGGGGTGCGGACTTGGCGGAACTGCTTGTTGTGCTGCTGGGCCGAGATGCGGGGGGCCCTTCGTGAGCGGCCGCTGTGGTGGTTGTGCGAGTGGGCGTTGAGGTGCTGGGGGTGGTGCTGCTGCGCACCGTAGTTGAAGAACTGCGACATGATGATGACGGAGGGGGGGATGGGCGATGATGGGTCGGTCTGTTGTTGGGTGAGGGGCTGTAATGTGCGGTCCAGGGAGCTCGACCACAACAAAGTGAGACAAAGGAGGCTTGGCTCGGGTAATGGGGGTCTGCGAGGGGTGGGTTGGGTAGGCAGGTAAGAAAGCCGGTCGAGGGTGAGGGCGGGAGTGAGCAGTATTAACTATGGGGGGAAGCTGCGATGCGAGGCTGAGAAGATGTAGATGTGTGTGTGTGTGTGTGAGAGAGAAGTGGAGGTGCGAGAGAGCAAGTGCGAGGAGGCAAGAAGAGCGAAAGGGCTGGAGAAGAACGGGCTGGGTCAGACGAGATGGGCGGGGGGCCGTGCGGCGAGCTTTTATGGGCCCACGCCGTTGATTGGGCACGACATTTGCCACCACGCGCCCCCTGTGCCCGAAGCGGCCTAGGGTGACATGGCCAACGAGCGCTATGGGCCGGGCGACCGCTCTGGGGCTGCTGGCGGCGAGGTCATGGTCTTGGTCATGGTCATGGTCATGGTCATGGTGGTACTGTGTACAGTAGAGTGGTGAAGCGCCGCCGCCCGCCGCCCGGGGCCCAGGACACGGCGCTGCCTGTGTGCTGGGAGCGGGCAACGAGTGGACAGCGAGCAGCCAGCAGACCAGCATCCAGCATCCAGCACCCAGCATCCACCGTTGCAGCATCTCGCCCATCTGCCATGATCCCAGCACGACCAGCATGGCGATCGCCTCGAGAGCCGCCGGCTCCAGGTTGCACCATCAGCACAGCAGCGCAGTGCACAGGTTCCCTTGGAGGCCGCGCCCACAGCCCAGGAGAACAAGCCCCAAGCGGCGCATTATCAAACAAGACTTATGCGACACACGGCGCTAGCACGCCAGCGAGGCTGAGCAAGTGACCAACGCTGCCCGCGCCCTGACCGCTATTTTCCTCTTCCAGAGGCTCGACTTGCACATCGTCGCCAGGGGAATGCATGTCGACAGCAGCTAGCAGCCTAGCACGCTGCCAGCCCGACGATGCGTTGGTCGGCAAAAGCATCCCGCAGCCCTTCTCCGTCGTCGACTTCAGGGCGCGTGCAACGCTAACGCACTGCCATGGCGGTTGAGGGGGGACGCTCCAGGGATCCGTGGCCAAGGCACAGTCCCTGCGGGCGCACATCGCTTCTGCTTGCACAGCTGTGTGTGTGTGTGGGTGTGTGTGCGTGCGTGTGTGGGTGTATGGGTGTGTGTACTTACTTACTGTAGGCGTACTATGGGAGTCGAGAATGCCAGCGCCAGCGCTGTTTGGCTACGGGCACACGAACACTGACTGGTGCTGGCGCCCCCAGCCGCTCACAGCCATCAAACCCACGCCGTTGCACCCTCGCCCGCCCTCGACCACGCCCGCCTGCCTGCTCGAGATTCGAGACACTTACATACTCGGGACGTGGGCCCGGGCTTGTTCGGAACACTGGCAGGACGAGAGTGACGTTGGACTCGTAGCCTCTCTGCCCTCAGTCCAATCACGACCCCTAAACCGCGAGACCAAAATAGTGCTCACTGGTTCTGTCCGGCCCGAGCGCGAAGCCTGCCTGCCCAGCGCCCAGCGATCGGCGCTCCTCGCGCCCACTCGCACTCGCCGTTTTCGCGCATTCCGTCACTCACTCCATCTTCGCATGAGCACCTGTCTCGCCACAACCCTCTCACCACCGCTTGCGCCGCTGCAGCACCATCATCATCATCACCCCAGCAGCAGCAGCAGAGCCTGGTCGGGCGTCCCCTCTGCGCAAAACATGCCTGTGACAGGCCAAGCCACCCGCATGAACGCTGCCCTACACTCTCGAAACACGCTCATTTGCTGACCTGCCCGCCCTGCTCGACAGGTGCAACTCGACCCGGCCTGGATCAATATACCTGCGAATGCCGCCAGAAGCTTGAACCCTGTTGCTTGCACATGCCCTGCTTAGCTAATAACGTATCGGTACTTTAGGTGCTGACCACGTCGTTGAATGCAACTATCACACGGCCTGCTCCTGGCCCTCGCACGGGGCAGTAGTTGTGCGAAAGGGCCCCTTTTTGCTGCCATCTGGTGGCGCATGCACACGCTTTTCTCGTTGAGACATGAACCAGCCAAGTCGGCCGTTGACGCCATGCTGTATACCCAAAGCCACCACAAACTATCCCATCTATCAAAATGTTCCATGTTGCGTGTCGCACGATTCGTGCACACTACCTACTTATGTTACTCTCCATGCTATGGCCTACGGAACATCAAACCTCTCCCCATCCATCCATCCACTCGCCATGTTTCCACTCAAGGCATAATCCGCGCATGTCCCAAACACTTGACTTCTAGAAACCAACCGAGCACAGCCCATCAGTCCCTACGTTACTTGTCCAGCCCTCTAGCCTTGACAAACTTTGCAATCTGATCTTTGCACGTCTTGTCCGTATACGACTCCCACACTTCATACAGCGAAATCAGCTCTTGCGTGCATTCGACAACAGCCTCAATGTCCACATTGCTCTCAGCAAGCCAGTCGACTAACTTTTGGATTCGCGCCTGCATTCCTTGTCCGCCTCGAGCGTTGCCCAGCGTTTGAAGTGCATTGTTCATCCCCACTGCATTAACCTGAGAGCCGATTGGTTTCAACACGACGGCTAGGAACATTGCTGTAATCGCAATCACGTGCGGTGCGTGCAGGAGAGGCAGGTCGGTGAGATAGTGGTCGTTGATGATGGACCATGCAAGCGCATTCTCTTCCTGGGTTAGTTGGAATTGGGTTTGCAGTTCAGCGAGGCTGCGGTATGGGTGGTGCAGTATCAACTGCGAGTTCATCTCTGATATCAGCGAGAACTCGCACTCGCCAATTTTAGATATATCGTTGAACGAAGTATCTGTAACACTGTCAGAAAATGTTTCGGTATGCGTTTGGTCACCATGTTACCCCAGCAGTGCCGTGCTTCTGCCAGCACCATCCTAATGTGCTGTGGACATTCCTCCATCTTGCACGCCAGGTACAAGGCTGTTGCCAGCACAAGCGCCGGGTTCGTCCGCCGTATCTCAACTTTGGTGTAGAAACGCCGAACATAGACTTGTGCAGTGGCCAAAGCCTGCTGCCGGACACCTAGGGGCCTTGCCATCTTCGACAGTTCTGTAACACATCAGCACGGGTTACAGACGCGCCGCACAAGACTTACGGTGAGAGAAGTAGATACTCAAATGCCTCCGGTCCGGAAGGGGATACAGGTTAACCAGATTTCTCTCTGCATCTTCCATTCGCTTTCGCTCTAGGGCGAGGTCTTGCTTGGTAAACGTCCAAAACTTCCGCTGGGTAGACTCCCAGTAGCTGCATGACATGTTGGATATCTGCCTTGCCAAGTCTTTGCGCGTGCTAAACAATCATATAAGAATCTGTGAGAGTCACGGTGTACGCCTTGCTCTTTGATTTGTGAAGTATGTGTCACAGGAGGTTGTGAGGCCGCCGTACTCCCGGCTGGTGTCTTGTCAAGCCGAAAGTTAGTACGACGTTACAAGGCAACAGGTGACCAGAATAACAGCAACAGTCGAGCACAGCCGAGTTTTGACTTTTTACACGACTCGTCTAACAATACATGAGATGAGAGCAGTTTGCACAATGGTGATGGAACGGGACGGAAGCAGTAGTTGTGTATGGATGCAGGCCCAATCATGTGTGAGCTAAAGCCGGGGGGTTGTCGTGGCTTCCCTCGGCCTCGCGGTCTGTCAGCCTAACCTCTTTTAGCGAGCCTCTCCAAGCTTTGAGACTGACCTCATACCCCACGTTCGAGTCCTACCAGCTTATATCCTACCCGCCAGTCATTCTACCCGTAATCTACCTCGTCCCGGTGTCGATAGCCGCCTTCCCTCGCGTGTCGCGACCTCAGCCATGATAGACCGAAGATAGCAGGACGACAATGGACACACAAAGCGCAAGCGTTACCGACGCCAGGGTGGACAAACTATGGTCGACCCTCGACACGCGCAAGCAGGGCCACCTCGACCTGGCCGGTCTCAAAAAGGGCCTGCGAAAGCTGGATCACCGTAAGGGCCGACATTTCGCATTTTTGTCCCTTCGCTAAGAGGATTACTGTAGCCTTAAAAAATGCGGACCAGCTCTTGGATGAGGTGATGGAGGCTGTCGATACAGACGGAAACGGAAGGATCTCATACAACGGTCAGTCGTCTTGACATGAGCCTACGCAATGCCTCAACCCTACTGACCCGCTGCTTTGCAGAGTTTCGCACATTTGTCCACGAGACCGAAAAAGAACTCCGCCACCTTTTCCAAACCATCGACTACAACCACGACGGAAAGTTGTCAAAGGAGGAGCTGCGCTCTGCATTGAGGTCCGCTGGTCTCACGGTTCCCAATCGCAGCCTTGACACCTTCTTCGCTGAAGTAGACACAAACAATGACGGGGTTATCAGTTTCGAGGAATGGCGGTACGTAACTGACTTGGCCGCTACCGTAAGCCTGGCATCTGCACAAGTATGCTGACCGGCTCAAAAGGGACTTTCTTCTTTTCATACCCGTCAGTGAGCCGTCGCTGGGCGCCGTCATGTCCTATTTCTCCGCCACGATGAAAGTCAATCAAGAGGGCGATGTCCTAATAAGTGATGACACAATCCAAGGCTTAGGTACTGCACAGCGTTTTCTTCGTTTTCTATTTGGTTCCCTTTTTCTTGTAGCGCACACACCGCCCTACAAACCCCTTCCACCAGAACATCACGCGCCGCTCGATGTGGAATCACCTTCGAGTCCGGCGCTTGCCTTCTCAGACACCCTCCCGCCACGATCTAATGACGACGAGACCAAGTCTTCTGTCAAAGAGATACAGGCAGGCATCATAGAGAGCTTAGGAACCATGCTGATTGCTTGTGTTCCCAATCCAGGCTATTTCGTGGCGGGAGGCATCGCAGGCATTGTTTCTCGTACCTCTACTGCTCCCCTCGATCGTTTAAAAGTCTACCTCATAGCCCAGACCAGTG